CCGGCTCCTGTGGACGCTCCTTTGTGGCAAGTTTGCTTCACGCCATGACCTAATAATTGCAGCAAATAAATACTGCCTACCTGCCTACCTGCCTGGTATCCTGGGCATTCTGCCCCCAGAAGAAAAACCACGAACTGCACAATTTACGCATTAAATCAGTAGGACTTTGCCTGGATTGTGACACAGAAATGCAAGTAAACCCTGAGACGCTGGTCATAGGTGCTAACTCCTTGGGGTCAGTGAAGGGACTGGGCACCCACAAATTTTGCTGCATAGCACCCACGGCTTCAAGCTCTCAAGGTTATTCAGGTGCTTTGTCCCGGACCTTAGGCAAGTCCATCAAAAGATCATGTTTTCTTGGCATTTTTGTTAAAAAAAGCTCAACAACTTCCGGGATGTCCTGGCAACCCTAGTATTGCATTATTGTGGGGCAGGAGGCTGAGAGCCTCCTGTCCATGTATTAGCTTTCTCCTTATTTATTCTGCCACATCTTGTCATAAATTGTGGCTACAGACGGACAATTTTGCAGAGCTGAAATAGGACTCAGCCAATGTTTCTGCAAGGACAAGGTTTGGACGCAAACTCCCCTCCTACGCAGCTCACATTCCTGCTGAAGAAGATGCTGTATCAGAGCAAAGGCCTCTCAAAAGACAGCCAGCCTCTGCAAAGCCTGTAAGCAGCATCACTCACCCTCCCCACTTGGGATTCCTAGAAATTAGTATTCAGAGGCAAACGGCCTCCAGCCAGGGAAGTAGAGCAAAGACACTGTGGTGAGCTGCCATTGATAGTCTTCTCCTTCATGAATGCAAGAGCTCCAAATCAAACTTAACTGAGCAGCTTGAATTTCCCGGTATGTGACTGAATCCCACCCCAGATTAATGACACTCTTGCTGATCGACAGTTCAAATCCCTGCGATGGGGTGAGCTCCCGTTGCTCGGTCCCTGCTCCTGCCAAGCTAGCAGTTCGAAAGCACATCAAAGTTCAAATAGATAAATAAGTACCGCTCCGGCAGGAAGGTAAACGGCGTTTCCGTGCGCTGCTCTGGTTCGCCAGAAGCGGCTTAGTCATGCTGGCCACATGACCCGGAAGCTGTACACCGGCTCCCTCGGCCAGTAAAGCGAGATGAGCGCCGCAACCCCAGAGTCAGCCATGACTGGACCTAAAAGTCAGGGGTCCCTTGGTGGCTTGCAGTGCTTGCAGTGCTTGCCTCAGATATGCCCTAAAAGTTATTCTCAAGTTTAGGTTATAATCTGAACTGCAGAAGAGATTGACTCCTCCTTCCTTGGCCCCTTCCTGCCCACCCTCCTGCCTCCACCCTCTCCTTCTCCCTACCTACCTGCTTTCTTCCATTGCTGAAGAGGTGGTGATGGAAGTGCAGATGGGAACAAAGAATAAAAGCCTCCTCCCTGTACCTGGGTAATTGTCATGGGCATGGGAGGAGTGAACATTTGAGTGCCATTTCTCGAATAGTAAGCCAGGAAGTCAGGCCAGAGGGAGGGAAGGGTTATGAGACATATTGAGGAGTGAGTTGACCTTCTGGCATTCCTGATGACATCACTAAGTTTGGAATCAGAGTAAACCAAGCTATTTTACCTGCATTTTTAAAAATTAATAATAATGACAATAATGGGTTTTTCAAATCCAGTTCCAAGCCTGGCTGGGGACGTTCAGCCTGTCACTATGCCTCTGGTGCAATGCATTAATTTCAGAACATAGGAAGCTGCCTTTTACCATTGGTCTGTCTTGTGTAATACTGTCTGCACTGGCTGGCAACAGCTAGGTAGGGGTCTCTCCCAGGCCTGCCTGGAAATGCCTGGAATTGAACTTGTGACCTTCTGCATGCAAGGTAGATGTCTTCCTACAAACTCCCCTCTGGTCAAATATGTTTTGCCTACTTCAGATGCACTGTCTTCACGATCTATTTGCTGCAATTGACAGGTTGTTGTTGTTGTTGACGGCATCCATCTGTCTCAAGAGACAATGGAGTGTGCCTCCTCTCTGGTGCGCAAACCTGAGCACAGTATATGGAGGTCCCAGGCTTCCTAGATGACAAGACCCCCTCTCGATCTCACTGATGTGGTCCAAAGGAAAGCAGAGCAAGACATTTGGCACCAGCTTGGCTGCAGGAGTTGCCAGAAGGAAGCGTACAAGACACCATCCAACCATCTTAAGGTCTCCACTTTGGATTTGTGTAGGGTTTACTCCTTAGCTGTTTCTTCTCACGAAGATATCCCTCAAGGTAGTGGGTACGGATTTTTCCTTGGGGTTTACTCCTGAAGCTATTCTCAAAAATGAGTCTAGCCATAAGGCAGCAGAGGTTATGGATAAGAGTTTTCCTTCTACTGGATTGGCTACCTTTAGTAAATGCACATTCTCTCTCTCTCTCTCTCTCTCTCTCTCTCTCTCTCTCTCCTTCCCCTTGTAGGGAAAGGGAATATTTATTATATTATATTTATTATTAAAGTTAAATCTCCCGTTTTCTCCAAGGAGCTTCAAGTGGTATGTATATCTTTCTCCCCACCCAACCCAACTTTGTCTTCACAACAACCTTGTGGAGTAGATTAGGCACAAGGCCACCCAGTGAGCTGAGAGGGAATTTGGTGGCAAAATGCAGGGCTCCTGCAGAATGCTGAGGGATATGGCACATAAAGTTTCCGGAATGAATCAGTGATGTCCAGGCTCAAATTGGGCAATATAGCTAGATATTAAAATAATATGGACAACTCAGACACAATTGCAGCCTTTTAATCTTGTAAAATTGTGCCATCTTCCAATCTGTCAGGGTGCTCCGCAAAATGACCGCCTATTATTGGCAAATTCTCGCTGATGTCTCTCTAGATGTCTGACAGAAGTCTGAGCTAGTAAATGCGTTGTCTGCTGCCAACTCATCTGAGAAAAATAGGCTCTAATTCACTGCAGCTAAGACAGCTGCTTCTGTATATCAGCTAGAGTTTCAAGGCTGAGTTCAATAGGCCAAGCTGATTCAAAAGACTTCAGGTATACAGCTATACAGACATATAGATATGGTTCCAGAAGCTCATTTTGTATGTGGAGAAAACCACTGTGTATGCCCAGTTAAATCTTTGTGTTTGGAAAGGTGCAGATCCCTTGACATCAAGGGGCAGGTGGAGAGTAATATATATGACACAGTGCATCCACTTCTATCAGTTATGTTATTTTTCCCCTTTTTCCTCTCCAGCACTTAGTTATTTCTTCTGGTCTTCTAAAAGTGATTCATAGCATTCAGGTCATTTGCACCTCTTTCATTTGATGCTTACAAGAGGAAATTGATGCCTTGTTTTGTTTTAATGGGCCAAGGAGGTAATTTTTTTCTTCCCATCTCAATTGACATTTGGAACAATTCCAGTAATTGGAATGGCAAACCCTGCTTTAGGCATTATCACCCAAATTCTATGGGAGGACCTGCAGCAAAGTGGTAGAACTTTGCATTCTGAAGGACTCTGGTTGAATCCCAGACATCTCTGGTTGCAGGACTGTGAAAGACCCTGAAGAATGGCATTTGTTCTTGCAAGATGCAAGTTGTTTTATTAGTACAGTGGTACCTCAGGTTACATACACTTCAGGTTACAGACTCCGCTAACCCAGAAATAGTACCTCGGGTTAAGAACTTTGCTTCAGGATGAGAACAGAAATCGTGCTCCGGCGGCGCAACAGCAGCGGGAGGCCCCATTAGCTAAAGTGGTGCTTCAGGTTAAGAACAGTTTCAGGTTAAGAATGGACCTCCGGAACGAATTAAGTACTTAACCTGAGGTACCACTGTATTGAGATCCCCAGTGTGGCACCCTCAAACACCTCCTTGGCCTTCCTTGGCCTCCTCATTTATATTTTTATCTAAAATGAAGGCTTTGGGTACCCACCCTACTTTTAAAGCACATATGAAGCACATTCTTTCCCTCAAAGAATTCTGGGCATTGTAGTTTGTTAAGGATTGCTGGGAGTTGTGGCTTTGTGAGGGGTAAATTACAGTGCCCAGAACTGAGGGAATGAATGTGCTTTGAATGTGATTTAAAGGTATACTGTGTACACAACCACAGTTTTGTTTTGTAGTGCATAGGTAATTTGCTTCTTTATTTTATTTGTTTTTGGGGTCCGGCGTTGGCACACCTAGTGTATTTCCTGGTCAACCTTTCTGCTTATTTATCCTAAAACAAGGCTCTTTATTTTTGTTTTCACTGCAATATTTCATCTGAAGCCCTTTCCTGCCAAATTCTTCATTCTCATAGCTGTATTATCACAAATATAATTCAACCAAAATGACGGAGGGTGGGAGGGGGAGGCTTTTCAGATGCAAAAGGTGAATACTTTCTGCAACCCAGCTTGCAAACAATATTTCTCCTTTGCAATCTTGTTTGCAAGCCCCTTTCAAAGACTGAATGTTGGTTGGCTCCCATCATTCTGAAAAGACTCCAGATCAACTCAAGCAAATATCTGGTTTAATTTATGATGAGCATATTAAACAGAATCCCAGAACTTGATTCTGAGAAACAAATAACTGTGAATGGTGGTGTTCTCTGGAAAGATTCCAGCAAGTCATAACATACACTGTTATGAATTCTTGTCTGGTCATCTCTCCTTTGTCAGCCAAAAGAATTTTAATGGGTGATTGATGTTCCTTAATGTTCAGTGGGTGTCTCTTGATGCCATAAATGGACATTGCCAGAACATTAAGGAACATAAAAGAATATGGCCAGGCCAACATTTCAAGAGTTTATGGGCATAAAGGTTTTGTTACAATCAAGTGGCGGTATTTAAAAGATATGAAATAAATAAATAAATACAATTAACAGTCTGTTATAATTTTGGTTGAGGACTTTCTCGCCACAAAATTACCAAAGGCTATTCCACCTTCATCCCCCCCCCCCCGCCAGATAATCCACCTCAAAATATCAAATGCCAACCATACAAATAACTCCCTTCCCTTCTTCAGGAAAACTGGGATTACGCATATCATCCCAGATTGCTTCGCAGCCTGCTGCCTGCTTGAATAGCTCAGTCAGTAGAGCATGAAGACTCTTAATCTCAGGGTTGTGGGTTTGAGCCCCACGTTGAGCCAAAAGATTCTTGCGTGACCCTCGTGGTCCCTTCCAGCTCTCTGATTCTATGACATGACTTCCATGAAAATCCACCGATACCAGCTTCTAAGTCAACGCACAAAAATTTTGTGCTGTCCCCTCAAGACGGCATTTGGGGGTTTTAAGAGTCCCTTTTAAATGGACACATTGTGTTCTCATTCAGTCGAGGGGAAATGTAAGCATGTTGGGCTTAGGACACAATGCTGTACTCTTTAAAGGCTTTGTCGTTAATGCCAAGGTCACAAGTGGTACTTTGTGCTCCATTGATTTCGAGACCCAAGGGAGGTCACTGCTTATGCACAGAGTACAATTAAATCAAGGTTAGGCAAGCAGGCTTCCTTAGTACAACAAGATAATGTGCCAATAAATTTGCATGTGATTTCTAAGCACCAAGAGGCTTCACGATGTTTTTAAAGACTCTATAAGAATGACCAGCTGCTAGTGGGGGTTTCCTGAAGTTGGGGGCATAGCTGTCAAGCGTCCCTTATTTGGCGGGACAGTCCCTTATCCCAGCGCCACGTCCCGCTGCTGTCCCTTATTGATGAGGCTTCATTTGGCTGCTGGCTGGGCTTTCTGCCTTTGGCTCGGAAGGGCTCAGAAGTTGAACATACCTGTGCCCGGAAAATCCCTTATTTTGGCTGCTGATCCCTTATTTTCGAGGCTGCTGGTCCCTTATTTTCAAATCTGTAAGTTGACAGTTATGGTTGGGGGGCGCATGGTGCAGTTTAGCTGTTGGTGGGAGACTGCCTGAGAAGTACATGGGAGCTGCTTCACACCTTCCAGCATTTCACAGGTCATAGAATCATACAATTGTAAAATTGGAAGGGACCATGAGGGCCATCTAGTCCAACCCCCTGCGATGCAGGAATATTTTGCCCCACATGAGGCTCGAACCCAAGATCAAGAGTCTCATGCTCTACTAACTGAGCTGTCCTTAATAGCTGCAGCACTTGAAAGGCCAAACTAGATGTAATGTTACATGCCAAATATCTATAATAGCATGTTCAAGTGATGATTCATAGTGCTTTGAAGTTTAAAATTTTGTGCTATTTTAAATTGTGCACCGCACTTATGTTTCATTTTGCTTCGGAGGCACTTTGGATGGACACTTATGTAGAAAAGCAGACTAAAAGTATTTTCAAATAAATGAGTGGGATATACGACACATGACAACATAAGGGGTCTCCAAACCGCCACTATTTTGCAGGAGGGATTCAAGTGCATACAAGAACTTTAGGTTTAATAATAATAATAAATTTTTATTTATATTTTATTTATATCCTGCCCTTCCCAGCCGAAGCAGGGCGGCTAACAACAATAAAATAATATAACATTCTAAAATCATTTCATTATAAAATTAATTCAAATCAAATTAATGGCAACCATTGGGCTAGAGTTCTGTGAAGATTGCCAAAGGAGGGAGTCAGAAATAATAATAAATTTTTATTTGTGTAATTAACGTGGGTCAAAGCACTCTCTTGCCCCTGTGCAACAAATTCACTTTATAAAAAGAATAAGACCTTTTTGCAGGTTGGAAAGTGACAATTAAACGAATAGAAATGAATGTTTAACTGGAAGCATATAAACAACCAGTAAGGAAATCAGAATGAATGCAGCATAAATGTTCGTTGTTGCATAGCCTTCCCACAAACAAATCAGAATGAATGCTTAACAAACTGGTCATTGGAAGGGGCCACAGAGTCAATTATAGATAGATGATAGATAGATAGTGAAATATACTCCAGAGTGCATTTCATGCTCTTTATTCAGCTCATAGTGGTGAGGAGGAATGGAAGTTGCCCCAGAATGTCTGCTTGATATACATTATTTACACAATGGGCCCCACGTGATTGGCTAATTCTGGGATTCTCCTGCAGGCCAATCAGGTTGCGGATTCACTTCCACCTGGAGCTGGATTGGGTGGCTCCTGTGGACCAGTCAGACTGCTGCATTCTGAATCCTATTGTTCTAGGACCAATCAGACTGCTGCATTTTGGATCCTATTCAACTCAGTGCATTAGAGATAGATAATGATAGATGATAGATAGATAGATAGATAGATAGATAGATAGATAGATTTGTGTGTTATTGGCAACATAGAAAGATTAATATGAGTGATATTTGACATTTCAGTGGTTATTTAAAATGGGGGGAAAAAACTTGTTTGGGGGGATTTACACCTTCCACTAGAAGAGGAAGCCTTTATAACTGAAGAATCTGACATTGTTTTATGTCCTGCTGCTTCCCAGCCAACACTAGTTAAATCACGAACGCTGTTCCGAGAGCCATGCCGACATTCTCCGTGTTTCCAACATGCGAAGCAAGCTCATAAATGAAACAGGAGCCAGATGGTCAAGCACCCAGCTAACAGGGAAATAAATGTTGCATATCCTTGTTTCAAATAGGAGAGTAGGTTACTCCAGATCATGGGAATTAGGATACTTTCATTTCCTGAGTCTGCCTCCTCACCCCACTCACCCCCAAATGGACTGCCCTCTGTATTTTTGCAGAAGGAAACAAAATTTTAAAGCAACCATTTTTACATTTTGTTAGCATCTCACCCTTTTCTTTTTCTTTCTTTCTTTCTTTCTCCCTGCGATATCTTTCTTTTTCTTGGAACTAAGAGTTTTCCAGATGGTTCACAGCTATCTTATCTTGTGTTGATGCTCCATCTGGGATTCTCCACTTCTCAGAAAAATAAAGATATTTGAAAAATGTGAAACAGTCACAATATTGCTTATATATGCTTCCTTGTCACAACAATGCATAATATCTGTCCTTTTCAAGGAGGGGAATAAAGGAGCAGAACAGGGTGGAAGGGGGGATAAGAAAGAATTTGTTTGTTTGTTTTTTAAAAAGTGAGTTCAGTGCAATCCATCCCTATAGTTGCACAGAAATTTTGTAGCCCTGTCTTATACATGCCAATACATAGAAAGTGGGGTGTGTGCTGGGGGGGGGGTGGTACTTCTAGTGGGGGGTCATGACATGCTTCTTCTGGGGTAGTTTGCTCACCTTTGGTCCCCACTCTGCACTCAGCTCTCACCTGTGGTTCCTGAAAGCTGTCAGCATATAGCTGCATCCTAAGAAACAGCTGTGATGGGCTGGCTAAACCAGGTGAGGGTAGCTGATGGGTGTCAAACCCTCGGTGCATCAGGGACTTCCCCTGCATGTGAAGACAGGCTCCGGTGGAATGAACGGATGAGACCTAAAGAGGGCCCAATGGTCAAGGAGGCAATTTTTTGCGCATGCTGTAGATGGGGCAGATTGTGGGATGTGAAACACAAGAGCAGTCAAGTACAACATTCCTAGAGTGAACATGTTTACACATGGGGAGGAATGTTTGTCTAGCCAGCAGGTAAACTTCCTGTTTCCTTCTGGGCTCAGACAGACTTCCTCTGCATGTGACTAGAGGTGGGCGGGGCCTCACCTGTGCAGGTAATGAAAAAAGCACAGGGCAGGACAGCCCCCCCTCTCTCTATGACTACATGCATTGAAGAAGCAACATCTGGTTAGCCAAAGATGCTCTCTTGGCTTCCAGCCAAGAGAGGACAAAGGGACTGTCTCCTTATGAGATAGTTTCCAGGTGTATGTTACTTTTCTAAGCTAAGTCTGCCTTCTGGGATCCGACTGTGAACAGAATGTGAGTAAACTCTTTTTATACTTTTATAGAAGACTGTGTTATGTCTTATCTTTTAAGAGGGTATAAGGGGGAAATACCAGAACAGTTATTATAGAGGCTTTAGCTAGCTTGAGCAAACGCATGTGCTGTGAGTTTAAAAAGGGGAATGTTACTCTGCTAAATTGTGAGCTTGTTAACACAAGTTGGAAAGGCTATAATCAAACAATATATCCTCTCCTGCATCCCTGAACATTCCCGCACAGATGGGGCCTGTCAACTTGGGAAGGTAGCCCATCTAGGAGAAGGGAAACTCTGATCCCCAGCCTCTGCCGCCTTGTGGGATGTATCCTCTGGAAAAGGCTAGGGAGTAAACACTGCACAGTTCTGGAGTGGAGGCCCTGATAGTTGGGTGGTTCCTTGTAGTTGGATGGTTCCAGCAACTCCTGCAGCCAAGCTGGTGCCAAACGTATTGCTCTGCTTTCCTTTGGACCACATCAGTGAGGCCTAGAGAGAAGTCTTGTCATCTGGGCAGCCCAGGACCTCCATATACACTGCCCAGGCTTGCGCCCCAGGTGCTTTTAACACAGTGGTTTCACTTCATGCCTGGGGGTGCACCACCCCCTACCTCTCAAGGCAGATGGATTGCAACAACAACACAGGCAGCTGCCTCATACCAAATCAGATCATTGTTCCATCTAGATCAGTAATGCATTCACTGACTAGCAGTTTCAGTCTGGCACCATTCCCAGCCCTCCCTGGAGATGTGAAGGACTGAGTCTGGGCCCACCTGCTTGCAAAGTGATGCTCTGCTATGGCTCTTCTCCCCAATTTATTCGGCTGGATTTGCTTCCAGGTAGCTGTGCACAGGATCACAGCCATCATTTGCATAGCAAGGCTGGGAGCCAATGGCTCCATGGAGAATGACCTGGCTTGCATGTCACACTAAGCTAAACTATGGCTTAGCAAAGACTCAGCAAAGCTAAGCCAAGCTTTGGCTTAGCATGTCACCTGAAATGGAGTTTGTGGCCAAGCTCTCTCTCAAGGTTTCTTCTTGGTTACAGCTCCTGATGAGTGAGGAGAGAGCTTAACCTCCACTAACAGGAGGAGAGAGATGGGTTTACTTACAGTACTGGAGCCTCGCATTCTGAGGATCCAGGGGGCAGCAGGAAGAAGGAGAAATCAGCAAAATGGGTTATTCCCCCACTTTTATCAGCAGCTACTGAGAGCAGTCTTTCCCCAGAAGATTTTTTAATGTTCGATGTTTTATTATGTTTTTATATGTGTTGGAAGCCGCCCAGAGTGGCTGGGACAACCTTATTATTAAACTTATTATTGTTGTTGTTGTTGTTATTACAGTGGTA